CGCTGGTGCACGATGAGGGACGAGTGGCAGCTGAAGGCCTTCCAGCACCGGCTGCAGTCAAAGGGCTTCTCCCCCGTGTGGATCCGCTGGTGCACGATGAGGTAGGAGTGGGAGCTGAAGGCCTTCCCACACTCATTGCACTTGAAGGGCTTCTCCCCGCTGTGGATCCGCTGGTGCACGACCAGGTAGGAGTGGCAGCTGAAGCCCTTCCCACAGTCACCACACTTGAAGGGCTTCTCTCCCGTGTGAATCCTCTGGTGGAGGGTGAGGCGTGAACGGTTATTGAAGGCCTTCGCACAGTCGCTGCATTTAAACGGCTTATCTCCGTTATGGATTTTCTCATGCACAGTGAGGGACGAGTGGCACGTGAAGGCCTTCCCGCACGCGTCACACTTGTACGGCTTCTCTCCCGTGTGGATCCTGTGGTGGCGCGTCAGGTGCGTCCTCTGGTTGAAGGCCTTCCCGCACTCGCCGCATTTGTAGGGCTTCTCCCCGGTGTGAACCCTGAGGTGCATGTTCAGCAGCGAGCTGCAGCTGAAGGCCTTCTCGCAGGCATTACACTTGTAGGGCCTCTCGCCGGTGTGAATCCTGTGATGCACGTTCAGTGATGAGTGACAGCTGAAGGCTTTCCCACACTCGCCGCAGAGGAAGGGCTTCTCCCCTGTGTGGATCCGCTGGTGCTCGATGAGGTTGGTGCTCCAGGTGAAGGCCTTGCCGCACTCGTTACACCTGTAGGCTTTCTCCCGCGCGTGCCATCGCTGGTGCAAGGTGAGGGACGAGCTCTGGTGGAAGGCTTTCCCACATTCTCCGCACACGAAAAGACCCTCCCCAGCACCAGCGCCCGTGCCCTGACGCCGGCTCGCGGGTGGAGCTTTTCCATGTTCACTTGACTTGCAATTGTTTCTCCCTGAGTACATTCTCTGCTGCTGCGTTCCAGCCTCACTGGGGTAGAAATTCTCGGTGTGTCTGTCAGGAGACTCTTCCTCTGCAGGAATGAGAGTTCCTTCACCCTGCTGGGTGAAGAGGGTGCACCTGAGGGGAAAAGCCTCCTCAGACACCTCGTGTCCCTGCCAGCGCTCCTCTGTGGAAATGTCCCTGTAGCCAGTGGGCGCGTGCCTCCAGAGCACAGCCTCGCCTTTTGACAGGGCAGCCGCCGGGCCCTTCCAGGCCCACCTGTCGCCTGGCCCAGGGCTGTGGGGACTGGACCTCGCCAGCCACTCTCTGACTAACTCCTGTGACGGCTCCTCTTTGTAGATGCCCTGCTGTTGACACAACTGCTCCTTCATCTCAGGCCTAGGCTCCCGTTCTGTAAGAAATGGGAAATACAATTTTCTGTCAGCAGGCAGAGGCGTGGCACTGGAACTCAGATTTGAGATCCGACCTAGCAGTGTAGGTAAGGCTAGAAAAAAGGGCAGAGACTCACAGAGTGAGGGAGCTCAAAGGCAGAGAGACGGGAACGTACCCAGGGTGAGACAGGCAAGCAGGCCAGTGCGAAGGAAAGAAGAGGAAGAAACAGGGAAAGGAGTCCCAGAAGGGAATTCCAAAAAGAGCCAGGGGGGCTAGGAAAGGAGAACTCACGGATACGATTCATTCATTGAAACATCAACTGAGAGGCTGTTGTGTGTCTGAACTGAGAGTGAACATGGGGTAAATAGAAGTCCAAAAACAATAATTTAAAATTTCCCTGGTTCCAGAAGGGAAAAAGCACTCCCCCATTCCACCTCTCTTTAGTTCCTTTAGAACACTTGAAACTGTAAATGCATTCTATCCCTGAGATGTACGTGCATCACTTTAAAAGTTAAATAAGCCTCTTGCCAGATTCGCATCCCAGAAGGGGTGTCTTCCTTGGAGCCACCTCTGTGAACTGTCTCCTGTCTCTCCCCACCCCCAGACTGGCTGCCCTTTTCTCAGTGAGTGAAGCCCTGACCCCAATTTCGTACACACTCCCACCCGTTCTGCTTCATTTTTCTTGGTGCCATCTGACAGTTATAACTTGTTAAATATTTTTATATATGTAGCTATTACTTCTGTCTTCTGCCAACAGAAGGCAGACATCTTTGCCTGTTTTCCTAGCAGTTTCTGATACACAATGTTCAATATGTGTGTTGAAGGAAAGAAGGGAAAAGGGAGAGTTCTGGAAGGTGCACTGAGCAGGTGCAGATGGAGCGGGGGCAGCGCACTGTGGAAGGAAAATGGGGCTGTGAAGGGAGGGCCACATGGGGTGGTGGGGAGGGACGCCGGGGATAGGGCTCCACATCCTTCCACTGCGTTCCCCTCTCACCTGGACGAGTCCCTCCGGGGACTTTTCTGGGCACCTGCCATGGCTCCTCGCCCCTTTCCAGATGGGAGATCACGTCTGGCTTGCAGACCAGAGGTCCTGCTTGTGGGGAGGAAGTGGCATGGCTCTGTGTGCTGCAGTTCTCCAGAACCAGCCAACAGGACGGCCCCCAGAGGCGTGTGCTATCCCTCACGACAGAGGTCTCAGAATCAGAACCCAAACTGNGTGCAGTTACTTGGGAAAAAATGTTGCTATGCAGCTAACTGGGAAAAACAAAGATTAAAATGATATACCTACTATGTTTAAAGTGATATAAAAAAGCACTATGAAAAAAAGTGGAAGGTAATGTATCAAAGTGCGAAATGCAGTTTTATTAAGAATTATGGGGGACGTTTTCTCCCCTTAACTCCACATCTGAAATGTGGTTATTCTGTCTCCATAATTTAAAAAGTATACTAAAAAGCATATCATAAACTATAGCACTCTATACAAATGTAAAGTATTATCACTGAGAAGGCAGCTTATACTTGCTTAGAACTGAGTAGAAATAGCATTCATTCCAGATGAACGCAGCCATCTTCCTACCCCTGCAGGGAGCATGTAGATGGCCTCTGTGGAGGGGCTCCTCCGTCGGGGCTACGCCAGTGAGCTGAGCTACATGGCACGTGAGAGGCCCCGCAGGCAGCCTCACAGGCTTGGGGTGAAGGTGCCCTTCTAGGCACATCTACCCAGACAATGTACCCATACCCATCTTCCCTGGACGCACCAGGCACCACCTGTGTGCTCCCAATCTCCCACCATAGACTATGTGGCTAGCCAGTTGTGATGCCAGAATGTCAGGACTCAACTACTCTGATGCTGGGCTGTGCTTCTGTGACAGCTGTGCCACCTCTAACAAGTCACTCTGCAGTGGAGCCACCTAAGTGAGGTGAGTCCAGGAAATCCTCTTTTTCCCAAACTCCCACC